AGTAATGCACATGGAAAAATATAATTTCAACTATACATACAAAAATGATGGGTTCTAAATTACCATTCAAGGTAGAGATTTTGGAATCATTGTGGATAGTTCCCTGACAACATCTGCTCAATGTGCAGTGGTAGTCTAAAAACTAAAAAGCTAACAGAACATTGGGAATCATTAAGAAATGAATAGATAACACAGAAAATATCATATTTCCTCTATATAAAATCATGGTATGCCCACATCTTGAATATTGTATACAGATTTGGTAACTCCATCTAAAAAGATCTATTGGATTTGGAGAAGGTACAGAAAAGGCAACAGAAATGATTAGGGGTAAGGAACAGTTTCCAAATCAAGAGAGATTAACAAGACTGGGATTTTTCAGCTTGGAAAAAAATGACTAAAGAATGGGGGTATGTTTGAGGGCTAGAAAATCATGAATGGTGTGAAAAAATAGAATAAGGAAATGTTTTTTTTACTTTTTCACTAACAACACAATAAGGTCACCTAATGAAATGTATAGGCAGCAGATTTAAAACAAATTATTTCTTCATAGTCAACCTGTAGAACTCTTTACCAGCAGACGGTGGGAAGGCACAAACTATAACAGGGTTCCAATAAGAATAATATAAGTTTTCCAGAAGATGGGAATGGGCGACAGGGGATGGATCATTTGATGAATGCCACTTCTGTTTATGCTTTCTGAAGCACCTGACATTGGCCACTCTTGGCAGTCAGGATACTGGGCTAGATGGACCATTGATCTGACCCAGTATGGCCTTTCTGATCTTATATAGAGCCCAAATGTATCTGCCCTCTGCAACCCACTAGACCCACTCCAGTTCCAGAGCTAAGATAGAGCCCAAGAGTCCTGGCAGTCTCTCTCTTTCTCTCTCATTAATGGATCTCCAAATAACCTGTTGTTTCAGGCCAATGCCACAAGCCAAATACACTGGGAACGGTTGGAGCGTAACTTCATTTAGAAATTTGATTGTTATAAAAATGGAATGAACAGGGATATCAGCTGACTCACACTACTTTCCACATCCTAATGACTTAACCAAACAAACAAACAATGGAGGTGCTAATTGTGCCCAGGAAAGCTCATGATACCATCTATATGTTTTGTTAGTCTATAAAGTGCTACCAGACTATTTGTTGTTTTTTAAATTTATCCTATACAGGCTAACTCAACTACCCCCTGAAGCTTCTAATTGTTCTTATCAGCCTGTTGTAACTTGAACAATCTATTCGCTGTCTTTTTTCTCCTTTTTTTCCCCTCCTTTTCCTACCTCCATTCACTTATTTATTCTTGAATCTGGACTTTTATTACTCCAGTCATCTGAAGAAGTGGGTTTTGCTCACAAAAGCTCATGATGCCATCTCCATGTTTTGTTAGTCTTTAAGGTGATACTAGACTATTCATTGTTTTTTAAGTTTGTCTAGTTACAGACTAACTCGGCTACCCCTCTGAAGCTTAGGAAAGTAAGGATATATATTAACATTTTAAGGCTAACCAATGTCCCTTAAGTGGCTTGCCACAAGATGTGGGAATGTTAATATTAGAGCTGAGTGGATCTAATATTTATTTAAATGTTCTTTCTTTTATATAGGAATTAACTGAGTCAGCTACTTGCTAAGTTATCTGCCCAAAAGACTAGAGTTTTCCAGTGCCTTAGTAGACCTAGACAGGTGATATGTATGTGGGGAGAAAGTGAGCAGAATCGGTCCCCCCAATTTGCTTCTTGGCTTGTACTGAGTATGCTCAGTAACACTGCTGAAGCTGCTGTCCTCAGTCTGCACTCCCGCCCCCCTCCATGCTCTCACTCCCTTTCCCCTTCCCCATTAGGGCATGCACAGATCAGCACACACACACCCCAAAAAAATCTGAAATGGTGCCCCTGCAAACATTGGGTACATTTCTGACATTTGGCTTGAGCTTCTTCTCATTCCTATCCCCACAGACACCCTATGCTAAAGTCCTTAGCTAGAGTCAAAGACTGAGGGTATGTCTACACTTGCCCCCTACTTCGAAGTAGGGAGGCAAATGAAGCACACAGCAGTTGCAAATCAAGCCTAGGATTTAAATATCCCATGCTTGATTTGCATGTTCCCGGCCGGTCACCATTTTAGAAATTCACTAGCCCGGAGTAACTGCCCACATCTACATTCAGCAGTGAAACGGAAGTCCAATTTAAAGCCCCAAATTCAAATTAGCTGGTAAACCTCATTACAGGAGTAATACCAGCTAATTTGAGTTAGGGCTTTAAATCGGACTCTTGTTTCACTGCCGCATGTAGACGCGGGCAGTTACTCTGGGCTAGTGAATTTGTAAAATGGCGACCAGCCAGGAACATGCAAATCAAGCGCAGGATATTTAAATCCCGGGCTTGATTTGCAACTTCGGTATGCTTCATTTGCCTCCCTACTTCGAAGTAGGGGGCAAGTGTAGACATACCCATAGTCTGTCCATTTTTAAGGCTTTGTGTCTAAAGTGGGACTTCCAACCTCTTGGCATACAAATAAATAATAGCTTAAAACTTAACAGGGATGGGTACATAACTTCTGCAGCCAGCGAGAAACTATAGTGTTTCCCTGTGATACAAATTAATATCTTACTCCCTGTCTCTTGCTGCTTAGCTTTCTATTTGACCTCGGCATTGCTGTTTGACAAAATGCTATGGGACACTGTGCAGACTGAGCAATAGCAGTCTGATTCTGGTTATTTATTTGTTTGTTTGTTTGTTTGTTTGTTTGTTTGTTTGTTTTACAGGGTACTTTTGGTCATGGATACTATGAAAGATGCTTACAAATATACGTGTGAAGTAATCATTCATAAAAATGACTTTTTGTACTGCCTAGAGCCACACATAATAAATAATACATGAGCAAAGATTGAGACTTCTCATACATATTTCAGTCCTACCCTGCAGCACCCATTGATGTTCTAATCCCAGACATCAACACAGCTCTGCTGATTCTCCTTAATGTTGTCTGGCAGCCCTTCCTCCCCTCCCCTCACCCTCACCCTCAACCCCCCATACACATCAGTCCTGACATGCAACAACCCACGTTTTACAAATCTAGGCCCACACACATCTCTGCCAATGAACCTCAGCCCTGACCCACCACAGCTCTTGCTTGTTCAATGTTTAGCCTCTCTGGAGTAGAGAAGGGCTTAATATTTTTTTCATGTCAATAACAGTTCACTATGTACCAAGTTGAAACTTTGAAACACATTTTCTCTTTTGACTTAAGTAGGATTTGAACCCAATTCTTCAGAAGTGAAACCCTAAAGGCCTGCCTTCATACAATGTAATTTAAATTTTCCCTTGTCCTGTGCCATGCTTTCAAGTATACTAGTTAATGAACTTTACTACTAAGCCAAAAGAAATCTACACAGTCTCCCATAATGTTTTCTGGCTACAGTGACACCCACACAACCTGAGATCTCTAGCTCTCAGGAGACAAACAACCAGTATTTGGATAGGTGACTGAAAAGGAAAACCTAAATGACTGAGGAGGTGGGCCTCTTCCTTCTGACTCTGTTGAATCAGTCCTACAGGGCAGAGTTAGTGGGTGCTGTGCCGTCTTTTGGAGGCAACACAAAACTGAGATTCTGCCCACTTATGGTTATTTAAAATCCCATGGCATTATACACAAGACTAGAGGCATTCCCATTTGTGTGATTCCTTCCACCTCCCTTCATTCCTTCTGCCATTTCATCTAGATACAGGATAGTCCCCCACTTCCTGTTCTGAAGTGGTGAGCTCCCTGATGAAAGGGATCCCTACTGGATGGATGTGTCATGTAGGCCTTAGAGTGAAGTTGCTGAAGAGCTGTGGAATCCATTCGTATTTAAAGTGATATAGACTGTAAAGACAGGCTAACTGGTTGTGTGGTGACCTTTGACCTTTTCACTCTGAAGGGACCAGACTTCCGCTAGAATAGCCTGAGTGGTACAAAGTACATCCGAGCAGCTGGCCAAGGATTCCATGTTGGCTTGGTAGAGGAAGGATATCGGTAATGTGAAGGAGCTTCTACTTTGGGTGTTCCAAGTGGTAGCTGAAGTGTAAGTTTAAATATAGAGAGCATCTGACCGAGTGGACATTGCTAGAATAGATGTAAAATAAATGAGATGCTCCATGGCAAAATCGTCTTTCTGACCAGATGTGAAGATCACAAGAGAGAGTGTGAGAACAGAATAGTAATGCTTAGGGATGTTAAATTTAGTTGACTCAACTAATCGACTACTCGATGGAATTTCCATCGACTAGTCAATTAGTTGATAAGCAGGGAAGCTGCAGTGGGGTTAGCTCCTGGGACTGGGAGCTAACCCTGCTGCGGCTCTGCTTCTAAACGTATTAAGAGCTGGCTCTTAATACATTTAAAAAGCAGAAGTGCAGCGGGGGGAGGATACGGCGCAAGCCAGGAATGAGCTGTCCCAGCTCGCGCCAGATCCCCCATGCTGTGCACCAGTCTTTTAAATGTAATAAGAGCTTGCACAGCACCTGAGATTGATTCCCAGCAACTGATTCCCAGCTCATGCCCAGTCCCTACTACCTCTCTGTCTCCCCTGTGTCCCCACAAAGTCGGTGCGGGGGGGAACCAGCTTTTAAGCCAGCTCCCCCCAGCACCGGCTCCTGCTCCCCCGCCTTGCTGCCACTGATAGAGGCAGCAAGGGGCAGGGGAAGAAGTGAAAGCTGAGGGACTAGTTGACTATCTGATAAGCTTGTGCTTATAGGGTAGTCAACTAGTCACTTACATCCCTAGTAATGCTACTGTACGTAATGAACACTCTTTGTCTGGAGCAATACTCTCTCTATTAGACAAAGTGTTGCCCAGAAAACTCTCTCTTGTTACTGGTTATATTTTAAAACATCCTGTGTTTAGATATTGTAGGTTAATGAGCTTGTTCCCTCTTAAGAGTCCTGTAAAGATTTCATTCCCCTATGATCGGCCAGCTGTAATTAACCCCTGCTTCCATGTTTTGTTTGTTACAGGTAAACTATGACCACTTTACTATTAGTGTTTGTGTGTTTGCGAATCATCACTGCAGCGACCTCTGTGGAAGTTTCAGGTAGGTACAGTTGTCAGGATCACTGTTCAGTGCAGGAGACCATACATGCAACAGGCTAACATACCCCTCACACAGCAGACAACAAATCTACCTATGAGCGGTCTAATTTTACCCTCCATTGCCAAGGGCCTCCTCTCTGAGCTGCTGCAACACCATGACATGCTGTTGCTGTGTTTGGTGGGGTGGAAGACAGTCCGAGCTGCTTGTATCCTCATGCCAAGTCCCACACTACATTCACTATAATAGTGTAATATTCCACCAGGGTTGTTACCAAGGCGCTGGTGCTCTTTTAGGAACATCAATAACTTCAATTTATATTGACTAGAATATACAAAAACTATGTGCTAATATTGTGGGTGTAGATCGATGAGCTAGACTGAGGCTATTTCAAAAACATTGATAGTTATGACTGATGATTGTTATCGATTATTAATCCGCACTTTGTCTCCCTCCACATTGGGATTGGCAGATCATGGTAGCACATTGAGTGTGAGCATACCTGAACAGTCTCCTCTGCGTGTCGCCCTGGGAAACTCTCTGACTATCCCCTGCTACTTCATCGAATCATTGGATCATGTCGCCACAGCCCTCTATACACCTCCTCTGACCCCAAGAATCAAATGGAGCAGACTCTCTAATGGGAAGGAAGTCGTCTTACTAGTGGCCACAGAGGGGCAGGTTCGAATCAACACAGAGTACAAGGAGTTGATCTCTCTGCCCAATTACCCTGCCATTCCCACCGATGCCACCTTGGAAATCAAAGCTCTGAGGTCCAATGACACTGGGACCTATCGTTGTGAGGTGATGCATGGTATTGATGACAGCCAGGATACAATAAATGTTGAAGTGAAAGGTGAGGCCATTACTTTAATGCTTTCTCTTGGTGATAGTGTTGATGCTTACACTGATTTGACTGGGGAAAAAGAGGGAGGAAGAAATCTGACCAGCTGCATCATGAATAGGAGTGGGAACATTTTACCATTTCCATGAACATCTGGCATCACTCGCTGTCATACAAAGGTCTCAGACTTGATGGATCATTGGTATGATCTTGTATATAAGTAGGAGCCAAACAAATGGATCATTCATTTATTCTAATGTAGGCAGGATCTGGCACGGCAGATTAAAAAGACCAACAGTGTCCCCCAGTATGGTAGAAGATGATACCAATGTGTTTTGATATGGGCAGGAGATGGAACATTGGATGAGATGGACTGGTGGTCTGATGTGGTGTAGCAGGAAACACAACATTGGACCTATCTAAGGGTATGTCTACACTACAGCGCTAATTCGAACTAACTTAGTTCGAATTAGTTAATTCGAACTAAGCTAATTCGAACTAACGCATCCAGACTAAAAAACTAGTTCGAATTAACGTTTTTCTAATTTGAACTAGCATGTCCACACAGAGTGGACCCTGAACCGGGGTTAAGGATGGCCGGAAGCAGTGCCGGCAGGGCATCAGATGAGGACTTAGAGCGTGGAGCTGCTGTCTCAGGCTAGCCGAGGGCTGTGCTTAAAAGGACCCGACCCCCATCCCGGACAGACAGTTCTCAGGGGTGCCCCGCTTGCAAAGCAGTCCTGGCTTGGAGTGCCCTGAGTGCCCACACTGGGCACATCACAGCACTCGGCCATCAGATCGGCTGCACTTGCCGCAGGCTGCCATCTGGGGAGAGGGGGCAATTGGGGGGCTGCAGGAGAGCTTCCACCCCCAGAAGCCCGCAGAGCCAGCCCAGTCCTCCCCATCGGGGGCTCGTACCCCATTCCTCCCTCACCTCCTTCCACTTACCCTTCCCTAGCCCCCCTTCCTGATGTACAAAATAAAGAAAACGTGTGGTCAAAAATAGAATCTCTCTTTATTGAACAAAACTCGGGGAGACTGGGAAAAGGAGGTGGGAGAGGGGAAAAGAGAGGGTGGGAGAGGGGAGGGCAACTAAAATGATCAGGGGTTTGATACTGGTCCCATATGAAGAGAGGCTAAAGAGACTGGAACTTTTCAGCTTAGAAAAGAGGAGACTGAGGGGGGATATGATAGAGGTCTATAAAAGCATGAGTAGGGTGGAGAGGGTGCATACAGAAAAGTTCTTCATTAGTGCCCATAAAGAAGGACTAGAGGACACCAAAGGAAAGGAATGGGTAGCAGGCTTCAAACTAGTAACAGAAAGTTGTTCTTCACAAAGCAAAGAGTCAACCTGTGGAACTCCTTGCTGCAGGAGGCTGTGAAGGCTAGAACTAGAACAGAGTTTAAAGAGAAGTGAGATAAAGTGATGAAGGTTGGGTCCATGGAGTGGTATTAGCCAGGGGGTAGCAGTGGTGTCCCTGCCCAAGGTTTGTGGAAATCTGGAGAGGGATGGCACGAGACAAATGGCTTGGTCACTGTCGTCGGTCCAGCCCCTCCAGGGTCCCTAGTGTTGGCCGCTGTCGGCAGACAGGCTACTGGGCTAGATGGACCTTTCGTCTGACCCAGTGTGGCCATTGTAAGCTCTCCTGCCCTAGACGGCCACTTTCCTGTGCCTAGTGCAGAG